GTTTATGATTCCCTGCTCAACAGTCCTGACCTCTGTAGCAGTGAGAAATTAATTCAATTTGTTCAGACTCACTTGTTTTAAATGCAACACTACTTGTTTAATAAAACTGATTTGGTAAATGTGTTTTTTACCTGCTTTCGCTTCCGAGACCAGCTGAGCTTTGTGGACATATGTTAGCAATAAAAAACCCTGTATCATTATATTAGCAGCTTCTGCTCCTGTTTGATAAGCTACACTGAGCTTCACAAACTAACAGAATAATCAAGATTGTTCATCTTGTGTGTGATAGGTCTAATTTGTTTATTCAGCCTCAGATGGTCTCAGATCATTATATTACCACTTGTGCATGTTTTATGAGTTGAGCTGAACTTCATAGAGACTTTGTAGGTATTTTACACAACTTTTGAGGTTTTGAGGAATGGATCCCTAAACATTGCAAAGAGGAAATGTAAAGGAAACCTTCAGAGATCTATTATGACATATACAAATAGTATGTAGCAAAATATGTGTCTGATTAGTTTTTTCCACAAAAAATATTCCAAACTTTGTGATGTCACAAATCATGCTAATAGGGCCTGCCCCTTAAAATCCGATTTTCAATGAGCACAGAGAAACTTTCCACTTTCAGCAGATGAATGTGAAAACATCCTTCTAGTGTCAAACTCTGCACATACAGCATTCAAACAGCACACTGTAAGAACAACAAGAAACACTGATTTTTGAGTGGAGGGGCTTGAAGCTATTGCTAGAACATAACAGCCGCACAGTAGGTGTCAGGTAGGTCTTTTCATGAACATCTCTGTTGCACACTGCAGCAGCAACTGTGCTCTGTGTGAAAAGAAAGGACCAGGTACTTAATATTGGTAGTGTTAACCGTGCAACACGCCTAAACAAAGAAAAGATGGCCACTTAGTTTGAACTTGATGAGCAGAAAAACCCCATAAAGAGACACAGATTAGTCACTCAGAGGAAGGGAGGCATGCTTAAAAGGAAACCTGTGAGTCAAATGTAGACTGAACATTTATTACACCCTCTGATGATGAAGAGCTCTCCAATGCTGAGAGGGGTCAGTGAGGACTACTGCAGGTTTGGCTCCTTTTTTCTTTTTCTACAAGTCTCTCTAATTAGCAAAGTCTACTGTGAGTCACTATATTATTATTGAGGGCACTGTGTAAAAGCACTGAAGCAATGACTGCTTGAATTATTAAAAACATTACTACAATTGAAAATTTAATTTTGTGGTTAGCTTTTGGTAAATGTTGGAACTATTTAAGGTAGACATATCATCTTAAGAAATATGTCCAATAGCTTTTGTAGAATTTTATTGTCCCATTATAAGGCAGATACGGCCACTGCAGCAGCAACACAAAACTGCCTGTGTGTGTGTTTTCTGCCATCACTTTTAATTTAAGGTTCTGTCCTCATTATGTGGCCCTCGGAACAAGGAAGTGAGCTACAGTAAATCAATTGTGTCATGAACTGGAGGTCACCTCAGCTGTGATTAACGGTTTACTATCAGCTCCTGTTTTGCTTGCTGTCACTGCTTTAAATTCACTTTAAATTCCTCAAGAATCTGATCTGTAGGCATGTGACCTTGACTCCTTCAGAGCCAGCGTTGTAAATGACAAAACAGAATGTTTATAAAAGCACAACACAGAAGGAGCAAACTCTATATCCACATATGAACACAGTGTCTGTCATCATTCGTCATAATTAGATGGTATATTGTCAGTCTAAAAGCAACCCAGTCCCTTACACCTACACCATCCTCTAGCACACAGGTTCAAGGTTCAGCTATTATACATATTGTAGCCCCCTAAATGATAAACACACTTAAAATGTGTTCAAATATTTAAAATTGGCATAGAATCGAAAAATAAATGAATAAATAACAAGGAACAAAGTATATTAAAGTAAAAATATACATCCACAGGATATATATATATCTAGGTGTGAATATGTATATATATATCATGTGCAGTATCAGTGTAATCTGTGATTTACAGTCAGCAAACTTGAGGTAATAACAGGAATGAGGATAGTGCAATGGTAATGGTGCAGTCTAGAACAGGGTTTCCCAAACTCTCCCAAACTCAAGGACTCCTAACAGATGCACATCAGACAATGGATCCCCAGTTTGAGAGGATTTTGTCTTAGGGGAATCCCCTTGGAGTATTTATTATTATTATTTTTAGGTTTGAAAACAATAGTTTAAAGTCTTTGTAGTCAATCAACAATCAATTTATTTATTCCCTTTTTGTTCTAACTTACAAACCACTGTGATGTCCTTAAAGTAAGGGTTTTAATGTGGAAATTTGCAGAAAGAAATATATCAGACACATATTATTGTTCTGAGCAGACTGTTTGTATATGTCTTAATACATGACTGAAAGGTATCTTTTAAATATTTATTTTTTTGTTTTTTTTCCTTGTTTGTTTGATGTATGTATGGTATACATGTATATACATGTAGAGCTGTGGTTTATGGGAAGAGTTGTTTATTTAAGGAGGATTTGAGGAATCTCAGCCTGAGGAAGGAAGCTGCTCTGTAGTCTGGTGGTACAGCAGCTGATACTCCTGTATCACAGGCTGTTGCCTCACCGATATTGCTGATGCTCAGTGGATGGTTACCAATGATGTTACGGGCAGTTTTAATCACCCGCTGCAGAGCTTTCCAGTCCTGGCTCTGCAGCATACCACATGCCAGTTTTTGATGTTTCCAGTCAGGATGCTTTCTGCTGCTCCTCTATAAAAGTTAACAAGAACTTGGCAAAGGGATTTTGCCTTCTTAGGTTCTCCTCCTCACTTGGATCATGCACAGAGCTTGCTGCTGTGCAGGATCCATAAAAGTTGTGTAAACCCTGTGATAAAATCTCCTCAGCGTTGTTTGGATGTAACAGAGTCATCACCATTATCCAGGCAGGCTGGAAAGACAAGCTAAGGACGCCTTTGATCGCTCATTTCACTCAATCAAGTCCCGCTTTAAAGCGTGAGCATTATGCCCAATATTTCAAGAAACACTGAGTGCAAACAGCATCGGTTGGTGTCCAGCCTGCTGACATAGCTGAACTCAGTGAAGATTGCCAGCAATTTCTTGATTCCAAAAGGCAGTGCTCCAATCACAGCAACACCAGCCTCCTCACACTTATTGACTCTGGGAAATTGGCTGCGGCACAGAAGCTTTTACAGACTCTGGCAGAGGAGTCTGAACCTGGTGAACGCCTGATAAGGCTGATTTGAATGAGACTGCATTGTCTTTTGTTTTGATTACAGGAATTATAAATATCAACAGTGACCCCACTTGTGATGCAGCCCTAAATTAATATATTGCAGCTATCAAAACAATGCAAGCGGTCTAGTTTCAGCGTGACTCAATGATGCCCTCAAGTGGCCTGAGTCAGCCAGCTGCAGCCACTACAACAACAAACAGCAGATACTTATGTTTTTGCCTTTGTGTTAAGCTCTGAATTAAGTTTGCTCCTATTTAAAATACACATTTGAGAACATTCATTATCACCATCTGTCTGCCTTTTTGTTGCTGTGTGCCAGATGGATGATGGAGGATGGGATGACATGCATGACTGTTGATGACGTGAAGAATTATTTAAGAGTGGAGCAGCATGACAGCCTAACCATTATTTTAGCATAGAGAATATCCAAGAGTTGAAAATGCCTCGACTATAAAGTGATCCATGGCCCGTGACTTCTTGTTTCAATAATAAAACATAGTACATAACATTTTTGCAGGAACTTGAAATTCTGCACACAAAAAAAACCTGACACACAACCTTTGTAATTGGACTTCCAAAGGGGGCACTTGTTCATTATAAGTCTCAGATACACATTGCATTCCTGCTGTACACAAATGGCCCCTATCACCCACTAGGCAACTTGCCTGCCTTTGTGTCTTTGACTACATCAAAATAATTGCATGCTTTACTCTGTGGATAATTCACTGTTGCTGCACAGCAGTAGAACAGTCGCACATGGTGACACAAGCAGAATTGTTGAATATATTTTTTTTTCATGTAAGAGAGGCAGTGGGTCTCTAATTTGTGTCCAGTTACAAGGCCTTCATAGTGTCTTGCATGTATGGAATTTTACAATACATATCTTTAACATGTTTTCTTACACACAGAGCCAGAAATCACTAGCACTTACATATAACAAACCTTGATAACAAAAAGGCATTTGTTATCATTCATAGCCTGACATAAAAACATGGCTTCTGTCTTATTTGCATATTTAAACCAATTTTTCAGGAAAACTTGTGACAGAAAATATAATCGTTTTAATGTAAGTAATCAACTGAGGAAGGTTCATGGTTCCATAGTTCATGTACCCTATTCACCTGTAGTGTTTCCCCTTACCATAAACAACTCTCAGTCAACAAAATGAAATGCTGAAATGTGCACAGTACAACAGCTTTTTTTACACCCTCCACACTTTATTCTAATGAATGTGATTCATACAAATTTATCACTTTTGAATAATAGCTTTAACAAAGACATTTCATGCTTATAAAGATAACTATGATGCCAGAGACAAATCATACAATAATGAAAACAGCATACAGTATTTAGACTGCAGTTGGTAACTTTTATAAAAATAACTTTTTGTCATATTTGCAGAAACTTTATATCCTGACAGTAGTACATGAGACAGATAATCAGTGAAACAATCAGGTTCTTCTGGCTCCTCCTAGTGCTCCTAATGGGATTTGCAAGAATCCACTGGGCCTGAATGAAAACAACCAGTTTGAGTCTCATTCCCAGGTTGTAAAATACCAACGCTGGGAATGAGACTCAACAATCAACCTTCTTCAAGTCTCCAACCCAAAATGTCTTTATATCTCTGGCAGTCTACT